CCCGCGTCGCCGGACAGCCGAGCAGAGCCCCGGGCGCTGCCTTTCCAAGCGGGCAGAAGGAAGATCCAGCCCAGCCGGCTCGCCCGGCCTCGGAAACAAGTGAGTTGAATTCTAGCCCTCGTAGCACACGGGCTTCCTCGGAGGAAACCACCCCGGAGTGCCGCTTGTCTGACTGGGTCATCCATCCGGCAGAGCCCTCGGCCAAGGTCTCCAGGAAGGAAGAATTGGAAACCGGCGCAGGCGAGGGGACTCGCGCCACGGGTTCGGAGGCACAGTCAGAATCCTGATTTGCATCCGGCATCCACCGCCCCCCCGCCTTTCCTGGAACCCCAGATTCTGGGAATTCGGGGGGCGCTTGACGGAGGCTTCGCTCCTTCTGTGAGGGAAAGGCACACGAACAGGTCAGAGGTCAAGCGGAGCCTCTGAAAGGTCCCCCTGAGCTTTGACCTCTTTGGGCCCGGGTCTTCTCTGCTCAGGAAATCATTCTTTCCCCGCTGACCCTGTTGGCACGAGAGTGCTCCCCTTTCCTGACTGCCCGTCTAACGGATGGCAGGTTAGGGGGTAATGCTCCCCCCTCAATTCTCTCATGCTGAACAAAGGGGAGCAATTTTGCCTCAAGATGCACCTTCACGGTATCTGCTCCGTCCCAGCCCGGAGCTTTACAGAATCTCTTTTTAAAGTAAATGTTTAGGCAACTAGGAAGGATTCCAGAAAGAGGAACATGCTGGGGGCATGGGGTGGTCCAGATACTGCAAATTTCCATGATTCCCCACCACGTTTTTTCCTCTTATACCACCATCACCACCAACAATCCTTCGAAAGAGAAGATGGAAAATCTGTGGTGTGTCTTTGAGTTAGTAGCCAAGGAGCTCCCCCTGCTGCCCCCCCCTCCACAGGCCTGCAAGTTTAATCATGTGACCTGGGGGGGGTCCTCTGGGATGTCCCTGTGAGACCCTCTGGGAGAGGAGGCACCATGATCGATCCATCGAGAGGCAGGAGGGAGTCTCTGGGCAGGCCATTTCAGACCACTCCAAGAGACTCCACCTAAATGGACATTAAATGGGGGCGGGATGAGATGGGGGGGGGACTCCTCTAGCAGTTTCCAAGATTCTGTATTGCTCCCCAACCAGCCATAAGATCTCTCCCTGAAGTCTCCCTTCCTTGCTCTCCCCTAGCTGGGGTGGGGTTTCAGATCCCCAGACGCAAGCCCCTCCCTCCTCCAGACTCCTCTCTAGGTGGGGGTATGTGTGTGAATGGAGATGATTTGGCCAGGGGCTGCCACGGTGCCCCCACCTTGCAGTGAGGTGGGCTGAAGTTGGCACTTCTCTGCCTCACCTGCTGGAAGAGACACGAGGTGGACCTCAGCCTTCCGGGCTTCCTTAAGCCAGATAACACTGACCCGGAAGCCTAATTCAGATTGGTGGTAACAAAGGTAAGGCACACTGCACATGCTTCGATGTACTCCTTTTAATTTGGTTTCACCTTTTGTCAAAACTGATTATTGGCATTCCCCAAAAGTTGAGTCTTGCTCTCTCTCTCGCGTGGAGCGTGGTCAGGGTGGGCTGAGGTCACGGATGCGATCCTGGACCCATTTTTCTGACGGATCAGCACAGATCTCTTTATCTTGTTTCGTGATAAATCTACAAAGGAGAAATGTCTACTCTGAATGTCTGGACAGAGGCTGGGAAAAGCTCTGCCCTCTGATCATCCTGGTTTAGCGTGAGAAGGAAGCAAAGAAGGTTCACTTTGGCATCCAACCAGCTGCGAGTCCCCAGCAGGAGCGGCAAGACGGGGCTTCACTTGCACCATCGTGGGCGCCATCTTGACTTTTTTTCACCAACCCCTGCGGTCAACCCTGGATCTAGTCCCGGTCAGTTTCTAGCAAAGCTGAGCCCAGTAGAATAGCTGTGGCTGTAATCCTGGGGGACTTACATGACTCCCGGCTTGCTGCAGTTACTGTTGGTGTAATAAAAAGATTTCAGTATTTTCAGAGGGAGGGCCCGGTGCGTGAAGTCAAAACAGCAGTAGAGTGGCCAAGGCTCCCCTGGGGAAGGAAACGGAAGAGAATGAGCGATGCCCGCTGTTGGGTGGCGTGCTCTCCACCCATCCCGGAGTGGCCGGAAGGTTCTGGTGGCATGAGATCTGCAGCCCCGTTGCCAGTCCCTCTCCTGCCCGTCTTTGCCTTCGTGCCCCGCCATGGGAGGAATGGGGTGACACCTCCCGGACGGTACTCACCTCACGGCTGCCCTGGGATGGCCAACGAACAAGGAGGGAAAAGCCCTTCGGCACCACAACGTCTGAAGCCCCTCTCGCTCCCAGGCTGGGATGCGATCCGGGCATGTCATGGGGCAAGAAGGGGGACTGCTGCTGTCCGGGTGTGATGGTGCAAAGGGACAGGGCCCCCTTGTTCTGCCCCCGTCTTGTAGGCAAGGACGTAACGGAGGAGAGAATCTTGGAACTGCGGAGTTGGGAGGGACCCCTGCGGTCATCCGGTCCAACCCTCTGCCATGCGCAAGAGAACCGACGCAGCCTTCCCTGAGAAGTGCCCTCTGGTGACCTACGGCATCTCCTAGCACCCTCCCACCACCACTGCTGTGATGAGAACAGGAACGGAGGCAGGCTTGATACAATCTCCAGGACGGCTGGAGCTGCCGGAAGATGCTGCAAATATTCAGCCCCAGAAACACCTTCCTTGGCCCACGTGGCATCTTGGACCTGAGGCCGTGCCTCTGCCTCCTCAAGGTGGTCTTTTTAAAAAATGTTGTCCTGAGCCAAGGAGGACATAATGTTGACTTTTCACCTCAGGGGTGAAAATGGAGCAGACTGAAAATCTGGATTTTTCAGAATGTTTATCTTGTCTCTCGCTTAGGACTTCCTGCTCCCCCAGCACAGAAGGAACTGGAGGTGAGGGCAGAGAGCTGGGCCTTGTCCCTTCACTGATTCTGAAAAGCTACATGGGTTGGATCAGTGAGGATCTGGACGAGAAGCCACCGGGGAATCCTTGTCTTTAGGCCACGGGGGAAGTTGAAGAGCACCTTGGAAGGAGTCAATGCAAGCCACTTTCCTCCTGTTGCTGAAAAAGGGCAGGGCGGTCTCCACAGACCCAGCAGGAAGTGTGATGGTCAGACTGACCCACCACGTCCCCGATGATCCTCCCAGCAGGGATGTCCTTTGGTTCTCAGGGCGCCCAGCAGTGCCCCATGGAAGGCATGGCTGGGCTCCTCTGATGGGGAGCGGGGGCCTGCCCTCTCTTTAATCCCCACAAGCGCTGTCTTGGGAAGGACTGGGGGAGCCTCGCTTTAGCCCCACCCGCCGTCAGGGATAGCAGCGTCCATCTTCCACGGTCTCTGCCTATCTCATAACCGGATCGGCCCGGCAGCACTGGGGTGAGGGGGAAGAAGCCACCAAGAGCCACCGCTGTCCCTGGATGAAGTGGCCGAAGGACCTGGACGCAGGGCAGAGCCGGTGGCCAGAGAGACAGGAAGTGGATTGGGGGTGATTTTGCGATGCAGAAAAGGGGAGGGAAGAGAAACTTACCATACTGATCCTTAGGCTGGGTCAGTTCAGTGGCTGGATCTGAAACAGAGGTGGGGGGACAGTGTAACTCTTTGGGCTGGTCTCCCCTTGCCCTGCCTGCCCCCGAGGCTGAGGGCAGAGCCATCTGTGCCAGGACAAAGCCCCTAAGACAATCTGTTGGGTCTCCTTGAAGATCTTGGGTTGCAAGAGAGGGTGGGCCTGAAAAAGCCACACTGAACCATCAGGAAGGGAACAGACTCACTGGGACCCCCAGCAGCCAGGGCGACGGAGACCACGAGTAACAGGAAGGTGAGGACGGCCTTCATCCTCGGAGACGGGAGGAAGAGCAGCTCCAGGCTCTCTGTGGCATCAGCATTTAGCGCTCAGAGCCCCTCTGCTGCCCAGCTGCTTCTTTATAGAAAGCAGCAGCTGCAGGAAGCACGTGGCAGTCTCCACCACCAGGGTGTGGCCACGATGCCGCGGGGCCAGTGATGCCCGGGTGCCGTGCGGGGTGTTTTGCACAAGGTCGTGGCGGATGGTGTGGCTGATAGTGAGGAAACCCATCTCAGGGTAGCGGGGCGTCCACCCACCAAGACCGGTCAGGGTCCGTTTCCTGGACACCCCCATTTCTGCATATAAACCAAGGTTTCAACGGTGTCTGAAATGTTGCAACAGGAAAGCCAACTGAACAATATCACAAGCGTTTCCTGAAAAGAATAGGTTGCAGAAGATCTGCTAAAAATAAACCAACTGAGTTTCATGAATGATTTGAATCAAGAGATGGAAGACATGTGTGCAGGTGACATGGTCCACGGGGGGTGGGTGGGTCAGAAAACTCAAGATGGCAGCCAGAATGTACATAAAAAGGGCAAGGCTAGGAATGCAATGTTGCACTTGCCGTTTTTATTTTTTTGACCCCTTCCCTGCAGACTCCCTGGACGCAAAGCTAGTTGGAATAGAAAATACCTTGGAACGGTGCTTCTCACCCTCAGTGACTTTGAGATGTGTGGACTTCAACCCCCAGAATTCCCCAGCCAGCATATTGGCTGAGGAATCCTGGGAGTTTAAGTCTGCACATCCTGAAGCTGCTGAGGTCGAGACATACTTTCTCTTCCATTGCAGAGGGACAGACACAGAAGAAGAGATGCAAGCTGCAAAAAGGAAGATTCCAGCTGAAAGTCAGGAACGACTTCCTCACGGGGAGGACAGTGTAAGAGCGGGACCAGTGACCCAGCGGGGCCAGGCTCCCTTTCGCCAGATGAGTTAACATCTGTCTGGGACGTTTGAAGTTGGATTCGGTGTTTGTTATTTTATTCAACTTAGATGCCACCCGGCTCCAGTTGTCTGTAAGAGGCTTACAGGACAAAACAACACAACCAGTAAACAAGATGGGGCATCTGGTCAGCAACACGTATCTCCCACCCACCAAGGGGCTCCATCCGCCCAAAGCCAGGGAGAAGAAGTCGAGCACCGCCAGGGTGGGAGCCACCGATCTCAGGAGGACCTCGTTCCGGAGGACAGGTGCTGCAATGGGGAGGGCATGGGGCCAGCGTCCCGGTAGATGGCACTGCTTGATCGGAGGGGCCCGGAGCGCCCCAACCCTGCCAAGTCAAAATGGCTGGGCTGGCACCACGGGAGACAGGCAGTCCATCCAGTAACCAGGCTGAATGCCACGTGGGGATTTGTAGCTCATAGCTAGCGCCTTGAATTACACCCAGAAGCAACCAGCGCAGCAGAGCACTGCCTGTGCTGCTGCATTCTAGACCAGCTGAAGTTTCTGGGCGCTTTTCAAGGGCAGCCCCACGTAGACCATGTGGCAGTGGTCAAGCCACAAGGTGACCAGGGCATGAGTGACTGAAGGGCCTCTTAATCCAGGAAGGGGCATAAGGGGCGCGCCAGATGGAGCTTGGAACAGCCGGTACAGGCTAATCTGGTCTCAGCTGCTACTGGTCACCTAATGCTCCTGCAACATAAAGGGCCGTGAAATGCAACGCATTTGACCCATCTTGCGGCTGTTCTTGGATGCTGTCGGCTTAAAGGGAAAATATTCCTTCCACACCAGTCCATCGGTTTCTCCAAAGACCACCCCCATCTTATACCAAAATGTACATACAGGCCTCTTTGAACATAGCTTGTTTTAAAAGGAACACTGAATGCGGATGGCTTTTCAGGCCTCAGCATTTTATTGTTTTTATAATAATTTTATTAAATGTCACAATGAGAAATATAAAAACTTTTTCCTACAAACTAGAAAAAAGGAATAAAAATAGAAAGTGCAGAAAAAAGAAAGAAATATAGAAAGAAAAATAGAAAAGAAAAAATATAGTAAAGAAAAAGAAAAGAAACATATAAAGAAATGACTTCCCCCTTCATTGCAAATATAAACAATTTTTGTAACTTATTGGCTTCTCTTAAAATACAGCAAATGATCTCTTCTTCCCATATCTCATCTCTTATCTATAAACAAATCCTTAAAACCTCATCGTTTCAGTCCTGATCAGCAGACGTCCATTAAGGGTTACCAGAAATAACAACATATCTATTTTAACTTTGATCAGATAAACCAACTTTATATTCCTTCCTTTTACTTTTAACAATCCTGATTTTAAGTACCTTCAAATAATGTCCTAGAACTTGATTTCTTTTCATTTTTTTCTTTGTCCCTTCTCACAAAATTCTTCAAAAGTCTCTTGTAAATTCAGTAAAAAAAAGTTACCCAGATCATTCTTTTGGTTTGTTATTTGTATATCCCTTTTATAATTATTAAGAGATTAGCTGGGGCTTTTTGTACATTCAGTGTAGCATCTTTTTCCATACCATTCTTGTAGCCTGTCATTTTTGAATCCACATTCAGATTAGTCTCAAGCCTTGTCTGGTAAAATTTGTTCCTCTTCCATAACATCGTTTAAACACAGTCTGTCTATAATGGCAGACACTCTTAAAATTATCTTCTGGGTCCATTGCTCACAAATATCCTTCAGTACGTCCAATGTTAAAGTATTTTGCTCCATTCTGTATTAGTAAGTGAAATTTAAGTGTTCTCCTTTAATTGTAATCTTTAGTTCTTTCTGGTTCCCTCTA